TCACCCGTTTGGTAAAAGCATCCATCCGTTCGAACGACTTGCTCACCCGTTTGATAAAAACGTCCAACCGTTTGAACGACTTACTCACCCGTTTGTCAAAAACATCCAACCGTTTGAACCACTTGCTCACCCGTTCACTGGAACATCCATCCATTCAAACGACTTGAGTATAGTCATATCAGCGGTTGTCTTTTCCTGTTTGCGTACTCGCGTGTTCTTGATGATGTCACTTATGGAAAAAAAGCCCTCCAATCACTTGAACAGTCTGAACCCCTGCGTGAGTAAATTACAAATGAAAACTACAATATTGTAAATTTCTTTAAGAACTTCTCGCAAAGTTATTATTACAGGCGAAGAGCTCTTGCAGAAAATATAATTATTTTGCGCTTCTAAACATACGGTAATCAGTCGCCTATAGAAGCGAACTGCTTAAATTCTACCCAGTGTTACAATGCGGTTTAATAAACATTACCGGTATAACTTTGGTTGTGATAAGCACATAAATGATTTTCCGAACACCGAAATCTCATGAGTCATCCTTGTGCATTCCTCTTATTTCGAAGAGAATCCACTGAATGAAATCTTTAAGAGGGCAGCATGCACTGAGATAAAAACCATGTTGTTTTGACGCCCTGAATTTGCGTCCGACTGTCAAAGTGATTGATGCGATTGGCTGGTGTTGTGTTACCTGTCACTGTTGTGTAACGTGTATGCAAATTTATCAGGATCGGTGTGACACGCAACCGAACTGAACTGACGGGAATGCATTTGAGTCATCGTCAAAAGTAAAGGTCAGCATAGCATACAATTTGAAAATGTATCGGGAACTGTTAAAAACAAAAAGTCGGGTATTTGTTTTGTAAGAAAGCTAGGAAAAACATCACCGCAAATACTTAGCAAGTTTGCATTCACCGTTGATTTTCTTTCGAGTTCCGCTCGAAATCAATTTTAAGTGAGATGTGTAGTGGCACGGCACCATTCGAAATAAACAAAAAAATTACAATCATCAAATTTGTAAGCCGTTCATGACTGCTCGTTCAAAGATTTCATGAGCCGTTCGAACGTTTAGCTTGCCTGTTCGAAATTCTTTTCTGAGCCGTTCGAACGGTTTAGATATCCGTTCGGAATTTTTTTATGAACCATTCGAACGGTTTGGTTACCGGTTCAGAATTTTTTATGAGCCGTTCGAACGGTTTGGTTACCCGTTCGGAATGTTCTACGACCAGTTCAAACGGTTAGGCTACCCGTTTGCAATTTTCCCCGAGCCGTTCGAACGGCTAAGCTACCCGTTCGGAATACTTAATCACCCGTTCGAACACTCATTGAAACCCGTTTAAAACAGCTTGGTGACCCGTTTGCAACCCGTTCGATGGCCGTTCGTTTCACCCGTTTTATAGCACGTTTTCGCATGAAAGGTCACATTTTTGCGAAATTTGCAGACTTCACGAAGCCCTTCTTGGCCTTTTCTCTTTGTAAAAGTAGAATTTTGAAAAATTTGTTATTCCTGCTATTTTTGCCATATTATGTTTTCACATAGCAAGAAAAATTCTTCTTCCTTTTGCGATTTTTGCGACATTTGTCATTTCTTCTATACTTTTCTGATTGCGAATACAATTTGCTAGCAAATTTTTGCTAACAAGATCAATCCTGGCCATAAGTGCACATTTTGCGCCTATTGATGAGTTTCGATTCATTTTCCTAGTTTTGATGTCATAGTAGTGGCTTAGATATATTTATCTTCTAAGGCGAGGGTCTATTATAATTTGCTTAAACTCTCCTACTGAAAGCCTAATAACAGGAAATATTTCATCATGAAAATAGGTTTTGACAGCATTTTGATTACTGACATCTCTTTCCACTCATTGTCCCTGGATTGTTATCGATGTTAATGGTTTCAAGCTGGAAACAAATATATCCCAAAGGCAAACACAACGGTTGTTGGGTATTCTAGAAAGGAAGTGGTACCAAGTAGCGACATTGTCAGTAGATCAATTTTATTCTATCCTGTCTTTTGAAGTTATGTAATACACCTGATTATTCAAAAAGCGTCCAATAAAATTTAAACCAATTAGTTTTAGTCCTTGATCCCAGAAGGAAACATTTTGGTACCAGGAAATAAAAGTTCCGTGTAACATAACGTTATATGTTCCCGTGTATAACCTTTTCTCAAAACAGGTGGTAGAAATGCGTTCTAAATTGTTTTTTTTTCACATTTTGCAGCAACTTCTGAGAGTGTAACACAAGGTGTAAGCGCCAAATTTTGTTTTATAAAATTTAATGTATTAAAGAAGAGCGTCCTGGTCCTATTGACATAAATGTTTTTCTAAAGGAAAATGTTTGAGAGCGAATTTTTCAAGTCTAATGCAAAGCTTGTGCGTACTACAATGTAAAACAAATAGCTTTGGCAGAGCTCTTTAATGTATAATTTAGTAAAAGGATTTTGATT